AGTATGTAGGGGGGTTGCTAAAAACGACCTAAATGACATGTATTTATAGTCTCCAATACTCCATGGTCTCTAGGGTTCCGGAATTGAGGCTACGAATGACTTTGGGCTTCAGATACATGGGCTTTAAATCGGAGCTTGATTGCCGCGGTCGGGAGTGTTGTGACCGCGGCAATTGGCTTGTTGGCCGCGGTCGGGAAGCTTCTGACCGCGGGAAATAGGTTGATCACCGCGGTCGCGTGACTTGCTGGCCGACTTCGAGTGGCTCCGGGGCTAATGGAATATCTTGAGATCCAACCGTTGGAATGTCTCCAAACCAAGTGCATTTGAAAGCTGGTTGATTCTTCTATAAGTTGTCCAATTTTGAGGGTGATCAGACGGTGAGAAGGTCTTCGTCTCTCCATGAGAGTTCTGACGGTCTGCATTTATCCAAAAGAGTCTTTTTGTTCCATTTTGTGCCTCTTTATCCCAAATTACCTGAAAAGTCTTTTAAAATCCGGAAACATAGAAATCCTTTAAAAATCTTTGAAAATGGAGTAAAAACACCTGTAAAACATATTAACGTGATCCATAAAAATTGTCAAAATCCGGTGTTATCAACTTCCCCAGACTTAGTCTTTTGTTTGTCCTCAAAAACAAAGGCTAAATCTCGGCGAGAGGTTTGAAAACGCAGGAACTAAGCAAAATCTCAGAGACCAAACTTCTAGATCAATATCAATCAGTATGCATCAATCGGGAATAGCCTAGAAAATTCTCACTAGCAATACAGGCATAACTAGTCCGTTAATCCGTCATGCGGAAATCTATGCACTAGGATCTAACTTCCAGTCAACTAGCTCTTAACATTCATTAAAAATCTCGGTGGTACTCATCAAAGAAAATTTAGGCAAGGCAATCTAGGCTAGATGTCAAAAAGGATTATTTTGGGGGTAAGGCTTAAATTGTTTAAGGGTTATCTGAAGATCTGGAGGATGCAGGATATTATGCAAAACCGCAAGAGAGAGTGAAGCTGTTGGTGTCCATAGTTTTCAGTCACTTTCTTCTTGACATAGATTCCTGGTCTTCTTCCTCAGGTTCTCTCCAAACTCCCCCAGACTTAGATTTTTGTAAATCTTTCAAAACCATAGCTCCTTAAACGAATAGTGGTTGCTTATTGCTCCACAAACTTCGACAATCTAAGACTCATTAGGCTTTTTGTCTCTCTTTCAATTTTCAAGTTTTTTTTTTTTAGAGAAAGGGAACACCTTTAGTTATAGAGTCTTAGAGAGCACGAAATTACCAGTCAATATCTGTCTTGTAAAGCTTCATGATGTTTCTGATACTCTTCCTTCCCAATTCCATTCAGTCTCCTTTGTGAGTGACTGAAAACTGCGTCGCTCCTCTTCTCTCCGACGTTTTTGCACATATCTGCTGATATAAACTAAAGAGAAAATGCATGAGGATTGAAAACAAGGGTTTCGGGTTTAGGGTATGATACCAGATAAAGATAAACTGGTCATCTAGGACGACAAAGAGTGGTAAAAGTGAGGGTAACTTTGTAACTGAGACCACTAGTGCCGCCATCTTTCTTCGACATGGATAAAACACAAGATGCCCTTGTTGTTCTCGTCGTCTTAGGAAAGGCCATCGAGAAAGGTTTCCGTGACGACGCAATGGAGGAGAAACGGTGTTGATTGACGGAATTGGCAGTGTCAAGGGATGAAAAGGAAAAAAAAACAAGTCCGCATAATCTGGGATTCCATGGCCTGAATAAAACAATATAACAGGCGTAAAGTAATTAAAATTGGGGTTAAACTTTCAAGCCAACAAGAAAATAATAAACGAGGTCTAACAATTTGCGAATCAAGATTTGACAAGCTTGAAAGAAAAACGGCGACCAAGTCGGAAGCAGCTGTCGTGTGCAGAGGGAATGAGAGAGAAGAAAGATGTTTATAAGAAGAGTAGAAGAGGGCTTTAAAACGACCCTAGTAACCCGTGATGTATTTTTGTTGAGTCTGCGCTTCGCCCGGATTTTATTTTATGCTTGTGTTTTTATATGTTTTATATATTATTTTATAAAAAACACAATATATTCGGTTAGTTATCATTCTTAGTGTTTCTATATAACAACAAATTTCTCTTAATTATTGTTTTTATTATCTTCTATTAATATTTCTATATATATATATATATATATATATATATATATATATATATATATATATATATATATATATATATTAACTTCTAGATTTATTTATGATATACGTGTTGCGCATAATTTTATTTTTTAAGCAGTTAATTCATCATATTTGTCTTTTATTTTTTATTAGACTCCTTATTCATTTTTATATTATTGTAGTTTGTTAGTTTCAATTTTGTTCTTCTTTCTGAATTTTTAACATTTTTGTTCTTGTATTTTTTGAAATTCCTCTTTATCAGCTTTGTGTTCTTCTTCCTCATTTTCTTTACCTTTTTTTTTCATCTTCTTCGACTTCTATTTCTTTTTTTTTTCCTTTCAGTTTTTCTTCATCTTCTTTTTCTGATTTTAGTTTATCTTTTATTTTTACTTATCTCGTATATGTATTATTCCTCGTCTATTTTGTCTTCATCTGCGTATTTTTTTTAATATTTTGATTATTTCTTCTTGCTATTATTTTTTAATTATTTTTATCTTCTTTGATATTTGTTTTCATCATCGTCTTTTTCTTTAACTATTTCTACTTATTATTTTTTTTTCTAGTTTTTACTTCTTTTTTTCTTGATACAAAATAATTATTATAAAAATGTCTGAATTAATTAAGTCATTAATTTTAGTACTAATGTTTATTTTTTAAAAAATAATACTATTTTAAAATGTGGGAATTAATTGAATCATGAATTTTAATTTTTTCTATCTTCATATTGTCGTCTCTTTTCTAATCTTCAACGTTTTTATTTATGCATTTTTCAAAATTGCTTTTCATCATTTTTGTGTTTTTCTTCTTTCTATCTTTTATCTTTTTTTTTTTCATCATCTTCTTCATCATCTTCGACTTCTATTTTTTTAAAAAAAAAATTTCATTTTTTCTTATTTTGCGTCTCTTATTTTTATTTATTTGGTGTATGTATTTTTTTTACTTCGTATTCATTTGTATCGTCTTAATTACATTTTAATTTTTCTTCTTTCTCCTATTTTTTTATTTTTTTCATCGTCTTTGGACTTTCTTTTATCATCTTTTTTTTTCCTAATTTTTTTTCTTCAGTTTTTACTATTATTTTTCTTGATAAAAATATAAGAATTATAAATAGTGTATACATAATTAAATTATTAATTTTAGTAATAGTAATAGTATTTTTTTAATGAAAAATAATAGTTATTAATGTGTGAGAATGAATTGAGTTAATAGATTTAGTTTCATTTTGGTGCTGATGTGGACACCCTAGATGGAGAGAAAACTCTCCTATTATATAATAGATTTGTTTTGGTTATCGTGTAACCGAAAACCCATTTGGTTATTATTAAATTTTGGTTTTGTTTTGACTTGGTTTAAAACGGGTTTATTTTTGTTTTTATTTATTTGTTTTGGTTATCGTGTAACCGAAAACCTATTTGGTTATTATTAAATTTTGGTTTTGTTTTGACTTGGTTTATTTATTTATTTATTTTTTATCGTCCAATCGATAATATTCGATAAGCCCATTAAACGAGCAAAGTATAGAAGATTTCAGCCCACACTTATTACAATTTGAAGCCCAAATATCAATCCCAAATAAACCCAAAAACAAGAGATAAGAATCAATAAAAGAAAAATATGTGTACAACACACGGCAAGTTTGGATTAAATGTCAATTCCCAGAGAGAAGATGCCGATGATTCATTGTCGAAACAGAGTTTCGCTAGAAAATTAAATATCCGAAGAGTATTAAACTATCAGGTTAACTCAAATCGAATCTGCATCCACCTAAAATCAATACTCCTTTGTCGTTTATTTCTTCCTCTAATTAGATCCGTAAAATAATGGCTGGAACTTTTAATTCTCCGACCAAATCTTAATGCCGATCATCTTTGACTCTAGACTTGTCACCCATCGCCATGTATGGCTTCTATGAGGGTACTTGGGGAGGTTTTAGTCTTCCAGTCGAGAGAGGATGATGCCAAAATTGGAAAAAGAAGCCCAAGTACTGCTGGATCCTTTCATCACCACTTCAACTTTAAGAGAAACCATCCGCAGAGAAGAAAGGGCTAAAACACTATCCGAGAATCGAATTTTCTTTGCTTTATCTCAGAGAAAACCTGAATTCTATAACAATCCTTCATTCCACTAAGGATTAGCAAAGGTTGTTAGAAGAGAAATCAATCAAAAGAAGCAAAGAAGAACATCGATAGACGGAATCCGAATAGATCGGAACTTATTATCTATTAAACGGAAAGAGAAATCCGATATTAATCGGAACGATATATCAAAAGCTGAGAAAAACTCCTCTGTAAAAGATATCGGTGAGAGAATAGAGAGAGAGTGACTTGGTTTAAAACCATAAAACGAAATGGACGTTTTCTTGAAAAAATTGCTTGTTAAAAATGGATAATTATCCATCTGATATATTTTATTATTTGGTGTCTTAACCGACTTTAGTTTACCACTTTGGTTTTAGTATAAATATATATACTTGAGTTTGTAAAGAGTGTTGAAGTAAGCTTGAAGAAGAAGAAAACTTGAAGTGCAAGTTACCCTTTTCCTAGTTGAGTTGTGATTAGGAAAAGAAGATTAAAATAGGAAATATTCTAAATTGTGTTTATCTTATTGTTTTAGGAGTTATCTAAAACTATCTATATAAGGAGGTGCTGAGTTGTAGCACAACTTATGAGATTGAGGGCTTTAGGTTTTGAGTTATTTTCCTAGAGCAATAAAAGAAGAGCTTTTATAAACCTTGGTCTTGAGCATTCAAACAATAATTGGTATCAGAGCAACTCGACATCTAGGGTTTTTTTCTAATCACATCGGCGAAGAACAAAGGAGTAATCAAAGCAAAGTTTTTCAAAGATGGGAGACCTAGTTCCAGTAACAAACAAAGTTAAGGAAAGCGTTCCTTCAACTGTCCAGTGTCCGATGCTTACAGCCACCAACTACACAGTATGGTCAATGCGAATGAAGGTTGCACTCAAGGTGCATAAAGCGTGGGGCGTCATCGAACCTGGAACAAAAGACAGTGACAAAGACGATGAAAAAGACGACCTCGCTAGGGCCCTCTTATTCCAGTCTATACCTGAATCACTAACACTGCAGGTCGGAAATCTTGATACAGCAAAAGCGGTATGGGATGCGATACAGAGGAGAAACATGGGAGCTGAACGGGTGAAAGAAGCTAGGTTACAAACCTTGATGTCCGAATTCGATAGAATGAAGATGAAAGAAGCAGATATGATCGACGATTTTGTGGCAAAACTATCAGAGTTAGCTTCAAAATCAGCTGCCTTGGGGGAAACCATTGAGGAACCAAAACTCGTTAAGAAGTTTCTCAAGAGTTTACCTCGAGGAAGATATATACATATCATCGCTGCTCTCGAACAGGTTTTGGACCTCAATACAACAACTTTTGAAGACATAGTAGGGAGGTTGAAAGCTTATGAAGAGAGGATATGCGATGAAGAGGAACAGAATGAGCAAGGGAAGCTCATGTATGTCAACACGGATACACAAGAAGCATATGGATCCGGTAGAGGCAGGGGACGCGGTGGTCGCTTCTACGGAAGAGGCAGAGGCCGTGGATGTTTTAATAATCAGCAGAGTGACGGATACAAGCAAGAGAGGGACAAATCTAAAGTGGTATGCTACAGATGTGACAAGATGGGTCACTATGCATCGGTTTGTCCAGATAGATTGCTTAAACTTCAAGAAACTCAAGAAGGAGATGAAGAAAACGACACTCATGAGGCTGAAGAACTACTAATGCATGAAGTAGTGTATCTTAATGAGAAGAATGTGAAGCCAAACAAATTTGAGACAGCTCTAGATGGAGACAACGTTTGGTATTTAGATAACGGGGCCAGCAACCACATGACCGGAAATCGTAAATACTTTCACAAGATTGATGAAAGTATAATGGGGAAGGTGAGATTCGGAGATGATTCTCGTATAGATATAAAAGGAAAAGGATCGATTCTTTTTATATCTAAAGATGGAGAACGCAAAGTCTTGGCTGATGTCTACTTCATACCTGACCTGAAAAGTAATATTATTAGTCTTGGACAAGCCAGAGTCGGGATGTGAAGTTAGAATGAAAGACAATCTTCTAAACCTATATGATCGAGATGGAAATCTACTGGTAAAGGCAAATAGGTCGAAGAATCGATTGTACAAGGTGCTAATGGAGGTCGAAAACACAAAGTGTCTACAGCTGATCACTCAGAACGAATCAGCAAAGTGGCACGCAAGGCTTGGGCACATTGGTTTAGAAACAATGAAACTAATGATTAAGAAGGAGTTAGTCACAGGTATACCAAGAATATCAGTCGAAAAGGAGACATGTGCATCATGCTTGCTGGGAAAACAAACTAGGAAAGTGTTTCCTCAAGCAACATTATATCGAGCCACTCATGCACTTGAACTAATCCATGGAGACTTGTGTGGACCAATCACGCCATCTACAGCTGCACAAAACAAGTATATTTTCGTGCTAATAGATGACTACTCTCGGTATATGTGGTCGATACTCATGAAGGAGAAGAGCGAAGCTTTCAGCAAATTTAAGAGGTTCAAGGCTCAGGTTGAACATGAAGCAGGAACTACTATAAGAACATTTCGAACAGATAGAGGAGGAGAGTTTCTGTCTCAAGAATTTACAAGTTTTTGCAAAATTCATGGCATTAAGAGACACTTAACTGCTCCATATTCTCCCCAACAGAATGGGGTAGTAGAAAGACGCAATAGAACTCTACTTGAGATGACCAGGAGTATTATGAAGCACATGAACACCCCAAACTACTTATGGGGGGAAGCTGTGAGACATGCCACCTACCTCATCAATAGAGTGGGTACAAGAACCTTGAAGGAACAAACACCATACGAAGCTTACAAAGGGAGGAAACCGAATATAGAACATCTGAGAGTGTTTGGTTGCATTGGCTATGCAAGAACAGAAGCTCCACACTTGAAAAAGTTAGATGACAGATCGCGAGCACTTGTTCATTTAGGAACAGAGCCGGGTTCAAAGGCATATCGCCTAGTTAATCCAAGCACTAAGAAGATAGTTGTAAGCAGGGATGTGGTGTTTGATGAAGGCAGAAGCTGGAAGTGGAACGAAAGAGAAAATAGCAACAGTACAGGAATAACGGTACTTGGTTTTGGAGAGCAAGAGAACAGAGGTCCAAGAGAAAGAGATCTCGAAGAAACAGAGGTAGGGGAGGAAGAAAGTTCCGGAACTGAGACCTCTGATCATGAAACGCAGGCTCCTATAATCGAAACAGAACATGTGAATGAACAAGTTGATGTTCAGCCGACCTTAAGGAGATCGACGAAACCAAGAGTGAGACCGGCGTACTTAGAAGATTTTTTCACATTAGCTGAGATCGAAAGTGCGCAGCTTTTATTGACAATAGATGAAGAACCATGGGATTTTAATGAAGCTAAGGAACTGAAGGTGTGGAGAGACGCATGTGAGGAAGAACTTTTGTCCATTAACAAGAACAAAACATGGACTTTAGTGGATCTTCCCTCAAGAGTGAAGCCAATCGGACTTAAATGGGTTTTTAAGATCAAGCGCAACTCAGATGGGAGCATTAACAAGTACAAAGCTAGATTAGTTGCAAAAGGCTATGTGCAAAAGCATGGAATTGACTTTGAGGAGGTGTTTGCACCGGTTGCTCGCATAGAAACGATCAGGTTCATCATCGCTTTGGCTGCTTCAAATGGTTGGGAAGTGCATCATCTTGATGTAAAAACAGCTTTTTTTGCATGGAGAACTAAAGGAAAGGGTGTATGTCACACAACCTGAAGGCTTTATAACACAAGGTAGTGAAGGCAAAGTTTATAAGCTACACAAAGCTCTCTGTGGCCTGAGACAAGCACCGAGGGCTTGGAATCACAAGCTTAACGAAATTCTAAAGGAATTGAATTTTGTTAAGTGTTCAAAGGAAGCTTGACTACATCGGAAAAGAGAAAGAGACCAACTCCTTCTTGTGGCAGTATATGTCGATGATTTACTTGTCACAGGGACTAGTTTGGATCTCATACAAGAGTTTAAACAAGGAATGTCAGAGAGATTCGAGATGAGTGACCTTGGGAAGCTCACTTATTATCTAGGGATTGAAGTGTGTCAACACAAAGATGGTATAACACTAAAGCAAGAAAGGTACGCTGCAAGAATCTTGGAAGAGACAGGAATGAAAGGGTGTAATGCAGTACATGTTCCGATGGATTCTGGTTTGAAGCTATCAAAAGCTCCCAAAGAACAGAGTATTTGCGAGAAGGAATATCGAAGAAACATTGGCTGTCTGCGTTACTTACTACACACACGACCAGATCTATCTTTTTCTGTTGGTGTGCTAAGTAGGTATATGCAGGAACCAAAGAAGTCTCATGGTGCAGCACTGAAGCAAGTTTTGCGGTATCTGCAAGGGACATGTTCACACGGGCTTATGTTTAAACGAGCAGATCGTACTGGTCTTGTGGGTTACAGTGATAGCAGCCATAATGTAGATGCTGATGATGGAAAAAGCACTACTGGCCACATCTTTTACTTGAACGAGTGTCCAATTACTTGGTGCTCTCAAAAGCAAGAGACCGTGGCACTCTCCTCCTGCGAAGCAGAGTTTATGGCTGCAACAGAAGCTGCTAAACAGGCCATTTGGTTACAAGAGCTGCTCGGTGAAGTTACAGGTACAACTTGCGAGAAGGTAACGGTTCGGATAGACAACAAATCGGCAATTGCTCTCACCAAGAACCCTGTGTTTCATGGTCGAAGCAAACATATCCATAGGAGGTACCATTTCATTCGAGAATGTGTAGAGAATGAGCAAGTTTGCGTCGAACATGTTCTGGGAATTGAGCAGAAGGCAGACATCTTGACAAAGGCACTAGGAAGAGTTAAATTCAAGGAGATGAGAGATCTCATTGGAGTTAAAGAAGTGAGCAAAGAGGACTTCAAGCTTAAAGGGGAGAATGTTAAAGTAAGCTTGAAGAAGAAGAAAACTTGAAGTGCAAGTTACCCTTTTCCTAGTTGAGTTGTGATTAGGAAAAGAAGATTAAAATAGGAAATATTCTAAATTGTGTTTATCTTATTGTTTTAGTAGTTATCTAAAACTATCTATATAAGGAGGTGCTGAGTTGTAGCACAACTTATGAGATTGAGGGCTTTAGGTTTTGAGTTATTTTCCTAGAGCAATAAAAGAAGAGCTTTTATAAACCTTGGTCTTGAGCATTCAAACAATAAAGAGATGACGTGATCATAAGAAGAGAAACAATCTTCTCTCCCCATTTTCTCATATTATTTTGTTCTTTCTCTCATATAATAATATAATATTATATATATATAAATATATTCACTTCATATACATATATGTTATAGTTTATAATACTATCTGTACGACTGTCTCTTGATCCGATCTAACACTGAAAATGTAAAATTTGATTATATTCAATCCGTTTACATTTATGTACTATAGTCAGAATAATAGGCGCTACCTTCTCTGAATCGATCGCTATGGACTATGCCTTCACGATCATGATCATATGATAGATTATGTCTTTTGAGATCAAATATATGGTTGACGTTTGATCATATGGTAGTTGTCTCTTCAGATTATTACTTACATATAATAATATCCCAAAGATATTTAAGAAAAGTTTCCAAAAAACTAATAAAAAATATAATATGAATAGAAGACATACTTGAAAAAAAATGTCCTGAACACATATAGAAAAGAAGTTATAGAAGAACTATTTGAAAAAAAAATGTTTAGAAGACATATATGTAAAAGTTTAAGAAAAACTGTATAACTAGTATATCTAGGAGATATGAAAGAATTCCTGAAGAATTGCTTAATAACTTTTGTCTAGAAGACGACTAACTGTTTTATATTCTGTTATTTATTTATGTTTAACTATTTAATTTGTTTTATTAATTATAATATGATTAAAGATATTGAAACATGTCTTTAAATGTCTTTAAAAATCAGAACTTCCGAAAGAGTTAAAAGGTTCTAGAAAATAAATACAATAAATAGTTAAGGAGGAGTGTTAAAAATAATTAAGGAAAAGTGTTAAAAATAAATAGTTATCTATCTGATAATATTTTATTATTTGGTGTCTTAACCGACTTTAGTTCACCGCCTTGGTTTTAGTATAAATACATATACTTGATTTTGTAAACACATGAGGTATAATAAGAAGAGAAACAATCTTACATTATTTCGTTCTTTCTCTTATATAATAATATAATATTATAGACATATATACATAAATATATCTCAGCTCATATACATATATGTTATAGTTTATAACACAACCAGTTCAATTGAAATTTGTTTCTTTAATGTTTTCTAGTTTTTGATCAATTTTAACATAATTACCTTTAAAATCAGTTATGACACTTTTGAGTTTTAACCAAAAATAAATTCGAAACTATTATTTAAATTTTCAAAAATCTCTATAAAGAAATAAATATTTTTTTGAAAATCAATTAAGGGAAAAAATATTTTAAATAGATATTATATGTAATGTAGAATGCGTGTTCTACGTTTTACGTTTACATAAAATCTGAATTATTGTATTCCTTCATTATTCTACCAACTGTAGAATTCGTTCTCTATAGATTTTATATATTCTAGTGATCGGTAGGAAACATATTCTTTATGTTACTTATATTCTACATTATAGTAGATTATGCGTTCTACTGGATACACTATATTCTACATGTTGGTACAATGTAACTTCTATTGAATACACTATATTCTACATTCTCGTAGAATATAATTTCTACTTATTAAAATAGGTTCTATATTATTGTAGAATAGTTCTTCTACATATTGTCTTTATTTTACATTAATGTACAATACAAATTCTACCAAAATCTGAGAAAATCTAGGAAACTGGTTAACACCTAGTGATGTGGATATCGACCCATCTGACCCATCAAGTGTCTCAGAGCACATGCCATCGGTCGAAGACGGAGCCATGACACGGTCCAAGATTAAACAGATGAGAAACAAATACAAAAAGACATTACATGTCTTTATAAACTTACTGGACCCAAACGATCCTTTATTTCCAGA